ATATATATATATATATATATATATATATATATATATATATATATATATATATATATATATATATATATATATGTATACATACAAACTATATTATGCTTACTAGATAGTTGAGGAACTATAAAATACTATTCCAAAAATTCCTGTTACACTGGGGGATGAAATATGACAATGCACAGAGACCAACTGCTCTTAGTTGCACTTTAAAATGGAAAAGGTCAAGAGAATATAGCTTTCCAGTAAAGGAGATTAGTGTTGATCTACAGAAATACCCTACTGGACCCCTGACTAGAAGCTGCATAATAATAAAAGACTTAAAAACAACTGGATCTGTAAACACAGCTGCATGAAGACCTATGTTTGTACTGTGACCACACAGATTGGAAAGGATTATCTAAAACAAGTGTTTTTAATTCTATATTATTTATTATATATACTATTATATATTATACTATACTACACTACCAGATATTTGTAGTACTTTGTCCCCCCCAGTAGATGGTGGTATGTTTCTATCATTTTTTTCAAATATTAAGTTATCTTGTCCAGTTTAATTGCCTAGAACCTAGGCATGACATTTACCCTAAAGTTAACCATTGCTGCAACATACACCAACCTATCCATAACCCAAACCTAAATCACACCTTAATTCTAAACCCTAAACTAACAAAGTGAGAACCAGTAAAAGGTCCTCACTTTAATAGCAAAATGCTCCAAAACTGTGTTCACTTTTCAACAAGTACAAGTACACACACATTTTATGTCTCATGGAGATTTAAATTCATTTGGCTTTCATATCTATGACCTAACCCATACCCTCACCATAACCATTTAGATGCACCAGCCTAATGTCACACAAATCCAACGTAAGACACAATCAAACAGAAGACACCCATCGGAAGGAAACACTTCCAAGTTCAAGTCCCTCAGAGCAAGATCTGTGGAATACAACCCCAACTCGACCAGGAAGGAAAGATGGACCAGTGAACTAAATTGGTTCAGAAACATCTACACAAGACACTCAATGGAACCAGATAACTAACACAACTGCTGGCCTCCCTGAAAAAAGAAAACAGGGCTGGGATATTCCTTTAAACCATAAGCACGTTTAAGATATTGTTATTTGAGCTCTTATAACTAAGCTTAAGGTCTAACCTTATTAGACACGGCACATAGCAGGCACAGCCCAGACTTGGCTTGGAATTTAGCATTTACTCACAACCAGGAGAGTGTCACCAATGGACTCCTGGAAAATTCTTAGCAGCCATTGGGTGGCAGGGGAAGTAAATTGAAGAACCAATACGTACCGAACTTAAACCTTAGTCCTTAACCTGACCTAACCCTCATTAGGACCTTTAAGTCTCCACAAAGTAGCATATTCCTGGGAAATTGGTCTTTGAAATTTGGCCATGGACTTTGGCTGTTTTCGTTATTTGTATTTTTTTGTTTGTTTTGTTTTTTATTCCAGCCTTGTCTTTGTTCTAAGAAAGACCAGCCAGGGGACATGATATTTTCTTATTTTTTAGATGACTATTTATGTTATTCAAGAATATCTTTGATCTCTGTTTACAATTTTATTTTCCTTTCATAGATAAAGCTAACAAAATGGAATAAAGGGTACCTTAGTGTTTGGTTGATGGAAACTGAGTAACTAAATAGGAAATTTAACAATATGTATGTGAATAGGTGACACTGAACTAAAAATAAGAAAGAAAATAGACAAGGTTAAAAGAAATAGTTTGAGTAATCCTGAAGTAATGAGGAATGACTTGAGATTTGTGCACCTTGTTGTAGATACAGACACGTTTAATGCTGTACCTGAGTCTGCAGGATCATCCACAAGTTCTTCCTTCTCTGTTATGGTTTCCACCCGCTCCCTTCTAAGGGCTTTGATCTGCAGAACAGAAAGTTGAGGAAAAAGATGCAGCAAACCAACTAAATATATAATAATGGCTAGTGTTTTTTGTCGGTATAATCATTTACAAACACTAGTTAATTCCAAATGTGAAAATCAATAATAATCTTTATATGGTATTTATATTAAATTTAAATATAAATTAACTTAATATAATTAACTTTAAATAAATTTTGTATATTTTTTGATAAAACAAATCATACAACCTCTGACTTCAATGCTTAATCTTAAATATATTGTAGATTAAGAAAAAGTAACTAGGAATGAAAACATTAACCTGGTGGTCAACACTATTTTCTTATCATCAAGCTGGAAGAAAAAATAAATAAATTATTCAAAAAAGGAGAACGCTGGTGCAGAAATTTGAAAATCAGAAATGTTTTTAGTGACAAAAACTTGAAACCATGTGTTTTCTTTATTATGTGCCATTCATCTCGATGTACTTGCAATGTTTTATACAGTTTGTTAATACTCTTGCCCTGTTTTCCTTATTAATGTACATTCAACAAATGTTGAATGCTACACTGTTGAGCATAACTTTTTTTTAATGACAGACATTATAGGATGAACTAAAATGCTACATCTAACACTTTTTTTGAAAGGAGCAAACACTTGTGTGTATCAGACTGAAAAAATAACTTGTAAATGTCTCAAAGCACTTACTTTAATTTAATTTTCAGATTTATTCTTCCTTGTTGTTAGTTGTAGAAGCCTAAAAATATTTCTGGTAGGCTTAACAAATTGGTTTATTAAACTTATTAAATATGTTTTTATTAATCTAAAACCAAGAAGGCAGATTAAATATTCCAGGTATGTTTTACCTTATTTGTACTTACCTCCCTAAGGAAGTTCTCATCTTTCAGCCTGTTTCTGAGCAGGAGGATATCAGCATACTGGCTCTCTACTGAACTCCACCGAAGGTTTTGTCGAACTGTCAAAGTCAGGTTCCCTGTGTCATGGCAAAACCTCAGCAGACGGGATGGATCTACCCAAATCTGAGTCAGACCTGCAGGAGGAGTTGCTAGGGGGTTGGGTGGGCTACAACAAGAATGGATAGCCAAATTTTAAAAATTCTGCACAGTTTATAAGAATAAAAGGATTCTTTTATAATTTCTAAAAAATATATATATCTGAAAGGGGGGTCTACGTATTTTGGCTGCTTCAAATAGTTCAGGAGGCTGGCAACTGTCTGTAGAGTCATTACCTAAAAACTTCATTTCACCTTTAGAATAACTCTAGAACAGTTTGTAGAGAGCTTCCTGGAATTAGTTTCCATGGTTGAGCATCCAAGCCTAACATCTCCAAATGCAATGTAAAGTGTTAGATGTTGTGTTCTATAGGCCATTGTCACTTGAAAAGAGAGCAAGAAAGAGGTGTTTTCTTGAGTGATAAATACTTCCTCCATGTCTGGAAATCCAATAAATGTTCTAGAGTTTGATCCCGTAGTTCCAGTAAAAGAACATAATGCTTCAGCAGTCTGAGACATTATGGACAACTTTGTGTTCTTTTGTGAAAACAGTGTGATTATCACTACTCCATGAATTTACTGGAAAATACATAGTCCTGATCTCAATCCATTTGAACTCCTTTAGGGGGAGTTAAACCAGATACTGCCAACCAGGCCTTCTCTTCAAAGATGAATGAATAATTGGTCAAAATTACCATTAAAAACACTCATAGAACCCATATCAATCAAATTGTGATTTAAAATAGGCGAGAAGTAATCAGGGCTCCATATTGTGCATATTCTACTGCACAGCAGGTTTTTCTTTCATTAAACGGGGGGCACCAACCAGGGGCTGAGCTAAATGGGGGACCCAGGGGTGGCCATGGCCACCCTTAGCCAATAACTGGCCACCCCTACCAATTTTTTCCCTCTAATACAGAAGGTAGCAGCAGTAATACTCTCAAGTGGAATATTTAAAACATTTAAATTTTTCATATACAGTATTAACAATTACTTGACAACAAAAAGACAGGTTAATTATGCACATCAATAAATAACATAGATAAATAACTATATTAATAAAAACTTAATAAAAATTTTATGTAGATATTAGTAGTTTTAAATATCAATTTTATGTAGAATGTTTATTGATAAAGATAGGTAAGTAATGACAATGGAAAAGTTGTTGACCCCAGACATCAAAGCCTAAAGAATTTTATCCACTCTACCTTATCCAGACGGATGTTTAAATATATGCGTCTATTTGTTAGCAAAGGCTGTTGGAAAGTATAGTTTGTCTTTATTTAGAAAATATGGATGTTGTGCTTGTTAATTTTCCTGTTGGAACAGCGTAGATTAACCCTGAGGTTCCTGCATCTATCCACTTCCGTCCTTCCCTCATTGTACATTGGTTATTGCCTGGCCACCCTCATAAAAATGTTCTGGCTATGCCACTGGCATCAACACCTCTGTCCCTTTGTGTAGTTTGTAAAATGTAATTTTTTTTTGTGTCTTTCTTAGAGCTCATAGGAGGATCCTAATCACTTACTTTGTGAGAAGCTCCAGCAGCTCAGTGTTGCCTGTGTTCTGTGCCAGTTGCAGTGGCGTGACCCCCTCTTCGTTAGGGAGACTGACAGCCATTAAACCCCCTGGTTGACAAAGCAACAGCTCTGCCAGTCGATACAGACCCCATCGCACAGCCAAGTGAAGGGGACACTCTCTGGGACGGAATTCTGCAGACAAGAGGAAGAGGTACATCATTTCAAAATGTTTGCATCAACATGTCCAGAAAAAAATAGATATGAAAGAATGTTAAAGAGAAATGGTGACTCAGGCAGGATGCAAGGAGAAAACAACACTTTTCAGGATCTTTTACTGATAACATGCATCCATTCTATTCAATTTAAACCAATGTAATCCAATTTAGGCTATAAAAACTGATCGCTAAATGAGGACAGATTATCTTTTTAGCAAATGGGCATTATTTCCTAAATCAAATAAGCAGTTTCATTTAGGTCCTTTTGCGCTTGAAATTATTCCAAAATATATCATTACTAAAAACTCCTGCTTATTTGGCATTACTTAAAAGCCTAAACATCAAATGCTGGCTGTGGATGGAAATTCAACACATTTCCTTATGCAAAACCAAGGAAATGATTGGATTAAAAAAATTAATTTTTAAAAACTTAAGCTCTACCAGGTACAGTTTGTTTTCTATGTGATTTGGTTTTACATGCAGCAGGCATGTATGATTTAGTTTCAAAAAGGTGATCAAATGCAAGTGGAGAATCCAAAATGATGGCAAGTCACTGAAAGGTCTCAGTTCTTTCCCCCAAGTTTCATGTGCGATTCCATGTAAACACTGCAAAGTCTACAGTTATCTCCAAAGTCAAAAGATTGAACATCTTTTTATGAGTCCAAGTCCTAAATATTAGGTTATGAATCATTATTTCTTTATCCAGAGGAGTGGATAGGATGTAATCAAGCCAAAATAAAATAGTATACATTTCATGTTAGGCAACTGAGGCTTGGAAATCACAAAAGCATAATTTGGATGTTTTTGTGCACATTTTCTTTAGGTCTGAATATATATTTGTAGAGGAAAACACAGTCTTTATGCACTATTGACCAGTTTTCTTGTAGAAAGTTAAAATCTGTGAAGTTGACATTGATTATCTTGACAGACCTGAAGTTTTTATGAGGATACACAATGTAAGGCATGTTCATCTTTATTATAGTATCAATCTATGTTGCACGCAAAGATAAAAAAAAAAAAACGTCTGAATTGCAATACATTTCAACAAATAATTTCAAAACATGCATTCAGACTCCCTAGGTATATTATATATTTAATGATGCCAAAAAGTCTTTAGAAACTAAAAAAAAATGCAATGTTCTAAAGTATTTACAACACTATAACTAAGCAGTTTCAATTCCAAAAAAGCAGATATTTGCATTATGCAGCATTTCAGAAACAATCATGTTAGAGAGACACACAGACAGACACAGGAATACTTTCCATTGGTCCAAGTTTTTATAAATCCGAAAGAGATATTAATATATAGTATCCTATATTATTTGTTTATTTCTTACAATATATTGTTGCAATATTCATCCATTTTATAGTATGTTTGCCTAATGTCTTAAAGCCCTAGTTTTTACTCATTTTCTTAAGTATTATTTAGGCCAATGACTACACAGAATGTGATCAGTGGGGGAAAAATAACAATGATTCATATAGTTGCGGACAATATGGTGATGTCATGATTGCTGTTGTCCAAGAGACTCAGAGGGAGACATTGCAGTAAAATAGGCTGCAATAACAACATTAACCAGTAAAATTATGTAGGTGGACTTACACAAGAACTCAGGTCACACAAACAGATGGTGGCAGCTAGTAAACAACAGTCGGAAGAAACCTTGCATGCAAATGCTCACTTACCTTTAGATTAACTGAACTGTGCCAGCGGTTACTTCCTGATGGAAAGGCTCTATTAACCACATTACGCACTGCTTAATTGGCTTTGATGAATCAGAGAGAAGCACATATGTGACTATGTTCACTTCCGATGTCAACCATTTGAGCACAGAGAATTGGAATGATGGCAGAGGGTGGATTAGAGGACAGAGGGGTTGGACAGTTCCCCCTACTACAAAGAGTTTGCTTTAATTTTACTCCACAAAAGCTTTTAACGCAAAACCTGAACAATGAAACAATAAAGAAAATGTCCACTTGAATCTGAAGATTTTAAAAGAACCCGGTTTTATATACTCCCTAAAAAAAGACCACTTTATATTATTTTAAGAATGCCATCATCTGCACTTTTTTATGATATGATAAAAAAGGGTGTCCTACTCTCACCATCTCCATGGTGACTCCCCAGTACATTCCACTTTGGAGGAATGTCCAGATTGGCCATAGCAAGGGCCACTTTTCGATCCATAGCCCACCGAGAGCTCTCGTGCTGCAAACTGAAGAGGCTGCTCAGTTCCTTGTGATCCACAGCGCTCAGATGATGTCCGTGGATAATGATATGCTCTGCCAAATCCTGAGAAAAATGATAAGTCGTCAACTAGATCAAAGAAGTGCTGTAGCTAAAAGGACAGCTATGCAAACTTAAAAAAAAAGGATTTTCTAAATTGGTGCTTGATTTTTTTTTAACACTACTGAGAAGATTAGTCCCAATCTGCACCAAACATCTTAGGAAATGTTTATTCTCAGTCAAAAAAATATATGAATATACATATAAATTTTATATAAATATAAAAGTCTTGGGGCTTTTCTAACATAGGAATTTTATTGACAAATGGATTTTAACATCATATCATATTCTATATATTTCAACAAACAAAAGTATATTCATTTAGATTAACAATAAAAGCTGAAGCGAAGACATTTATTATTTTCAGTAAAATTTTATTTAAAAGAAAATCTTTTGGTGGAGATCATTAAGGACATAATTCAGTTTTTTCTCACATAAAATGTTAAAAAATACACAAAGGCATATCACATTGTTTGAACGTAATGGGAATTATTAGAGCAATTTAAAGGCAATATGCCCTTTTTAATCCTCATAAATATCGTCAGTGAGCCTCTGACTCTGAGGCCCTTACAGATAGGAGCCAGCAGCTTATTAATCCAATAAGGAAAGATGTCTCAAAATAAATCTACTCTATAGACCACATTTACAGGTCTTGAAGCCAATGTTTTTTTCTATTTGCCCAAATCTGGGTCAGACTTGTGGGAGGAGTGGCTAGGGGATTGGGTGGGCTACAACAAGAATGGGTAGTCAAATTTAAAAAATACTGTTATTAACAAATGCTCAGGCTTGTTCTGTAAACTGCTCAGTATTACCCTGTCATACATTTGTCCTTAATGTTACATCTATTTTCTCTTAAAGAAAAATATGAGTAAAGATTTTAAGGACACAAAAAATATGAAGCCCTGGGCCATTTCTAGATTTTGCAATTAGGGCCAACTTTAAGAGTTATGGAGGGGTCAATGTCTTCCAACTTTTTTTTCACCTAGAAACATGACTTTGTTATTTTTTCAATAAATAACACAATTCTTGTTTTGCTTTTTTAAATCATCTTATTGTCCAAAGATAAAACAGGGACTGTACATCTACATTACAACCCTTCCATTAAAAGCAGACATTGTCATTAAATGAAATTGACAAAAGTATATATATATATATATATATATATATATATATATATATATATATATATATATATATATATATATATATATAAACATGTCTCCTAGACTTCTCCCATGGCTGTTATACTGGAAATGCATGTCGTCTTCAGAACATTTTTTGTAAGATTAATACATCAGTTCAGGTCATAAAAATAGGATTTAATGAACTCACCTGTGCATCATCATTTACATACTCTATAGAAGCCCCACCTACCCAGGTGAGGTGCAGGGTTTCAGAGCACAGAAAGGCCCGCACAGAGACCTCCTCAGGCAGATTGTGTCCTAAAGAACAAGCAAAATTAACTTTATATTTGGTTAAACATTTACTAATTCTTCTTTTCCCCATTGTAGCAGGTGGTGTTGGCTGTAATTAATGTAATAGCAGTTGTATATCTCTATGATTACCTGTCTTGCTTGTGATTACCTGGCCCAATAAAATATACCTTTTACCAATCACACCACTACAAATACGCTTTAGATCTATATGCTATATATAAAAATGCACAGCATAAAAACAACGCTGCAGTGTTACTTTTACACACGTAAACATGCATAAAGATTGAGAGATAAAAAAGCTTGTTAATATATCTAACACTAAGTCTGCACTGAAATAAATTATATTGCTAAAAGCTTTGGATCACACCACCATTTTTAATGAATTTAGTTATATACCTGTCTTTTTTTCATGGCTGTGTGCATGTTCATGTGGGGAAGCATAATTTGCCTGCTTAAATTTTATAGATCTTACAGATTCTACATATCTTATAGAAGATCTTTGGGACAACTTTGAGCACTTGCTACAATTCTGTTTTTTTTTTTTTCTCTATCCATGAATGTGCATGAAAATATGTCTGCAATCACTTTGGGGAGAAGGAGATAAAGATACAATGACCAATGTAGAAAATAGAATCTGTGCACATGTAAATGTATTTACAATTATATTAGAATAATATTTGTAGGGCAAAAAAAAGTTTTTTGGTGGAACAAGAACAAAACTTCATTAGGAAACTAAACATTTTGGCATGTTTATAGATTAAAAAAATGACCACGCAAAGCAACCAGAGAGCAACAAACCATTACAGTGTCTGTACAGGGTTATTGAAAGGCAGGGGGGACAAAAACAACTTCCCTCACTCACTCCCCATGAGCACTATCTTTACACAAGAGAGATATTTCTAATTCTTAATTGTTTCTTTATGGGCTCTAGGGGAAGCACAATTAGGTTTCATTAAACTATTGTTGGTATTTCCTTTATTTGCATTATTTTAGGGCAAGTTTAGGTAATAAAGCACATTGCTGTCTGTCAGCTGGTGAATCAAAAAGTCAGCTCTTCCATTTTTATGAGTGATATTTAATCTTTATCATTTAGTATTATTTTTGGTGGGGGCTTTACCATAGTACAACTTGTAGAGCTATTGCCTTGCAGCAAAAAACACCTCATTTCGATCCTTGACCTAAAGGCTTTTTGAATAGGGATTGCATGTTCTCCTTGCACATGCATGGATACTCTCTGGGTACTCCAGCTTCCAGCCACAGATAAATAAAAAAAACGTCTAGCAGGTTTGCTGGCATCTCCAAACTGCCCTTGAGGGTGTGTGAATAGTTGTTATCTCCCCAAAGACTGCAGTAGATAGGCACCAGTCCCTTGTGATCCTGATAGACAAGCAGAAAGAAAAGGATGGATGTTTCCATCTTTTTCAATATTTTTACTGTTGTTTCCCAGCATTTTAAGATATAAATAAATAAAGTGCATTATAAATTACTATTGCTATTATTGTTGAGGGCTGCAAGATGGTGCAGGCCCAGGGTCTTTCTGCATGGAGTTTGCATGTTCTCCCTGTACATAAATGGGTTCACTCCAGGTACTTGGCTTCCTACCACCATCACAAAATATAATTGGTAGGTTAATTAGCGTCTCTAAATTGTTCTTAGGTGTGACTATGCATGGTTTTATGTCTCTTTGTCACAGTGCGATGGCCTGGTGACTTTTCCACGGTGTACCCTGCCTTTTGCCCATAGAATGCTGGAGATAGGCCCCGCCCCCACCCCATGATGCTGACGGATTAAACGGGAGATGTTTGATGGAAGGATTATTTTTATTGTTATCGCTGATAGAATTATCAAAGTATTCCTTTTTTTATTATAATAAATTACAATATTTGTAGATACCAACAACAATTACTATTTTTTTTTTTTGGTAACAGGTCATTTAATAATCCTTATTTGGAATCTTTGAAGATCAAAAGCACAATGTGTATGTTCTGCTAAATTCAGGGGGTGTTCTGTGATAAAATGCACTGAACATTCAGTCAAAGATTGATCAACGTAAGGTTTAAGAATTTTTTTAATGTGTAGTTGTTTTTTGAAAACATTTATAATTTTATTCAGATTTTTTGTATACCCTCCTTTTTTAGAGACAGCTTTGAAAGGATCTATTCAACTTTAAAAAATACTAAGAATCACTCTCCAAATGTGCTTTGGAAAAGCAGCAGTTTCATGCATGGGACAGATCTTATTAAACAGCTGATCCAACTATTTCCACCTCTAAAGAAAGAAATAGAATAAAAACTTTAAGTTTAAAAAAGCAATCTTGTAGTATTAAGCAAAATAAATACCTGGCACAATAAAGTAGAGCATGACATCATTTTGAGCCCGGGTTACATGGACCAGCGTGGATCCTTCTAGAACAACATAGACCTCGGCGTCTTCTGGCACTGAATCCAAACCCTCCAGCAATGCAAATACTTTTGCCTCACCCTGAGATAAAGGAAGGTGAGAGTACTTAACAGAAAAAAAAAAAAAAAGTTATACAGAGAAATACAGATCTTCTTCCCAAGTATGCAGGGTTATTTTAAACTTTGACTTTATTCTGATGTAGGATTCTGCAGATTTATAAAGTACACAAAATCCCCCCAGAGCACTCCCTGAGGGCACAATAAAGCATCCTCCCTCAATAAAAACAGGAATGCCTCTGTGTGTCCAGTGCAAAGACCTGGTCTGATCCAAACAGGCAAAAATAATTAAACTTCTCATATAAAGTGTTACAAAAAATGCAGAACTTGAGTGTTGATGCAAATCCAATATCAGGATGTTTTAAACATTGAAGTCAATGTCAGTACCTGTTATGGTGTCTCAATAACAATGAAGTTATTTTTCTTACAAATTAAAGGGGAATTTATTTTCATGGTTTGAGTTCCACTTTAAATCACGGCTTCCTTTATAATAATTAGTTTATTGATATGTGGTTAATTAATTGTTAAGCACTTTATCGTTGATACATAGGTGTTTATTATGCATTCAACGTAACATGCATGCTTAAAAATATGCTTATTTTGTGTAAGATTGTCTGAAATATTGATTATAAGCAATGCTAAATGAAATGTGGAGTTGAATGGTTTAGGCTAACCGTGCTGCAAGAAATTGGTGGTTTCTTCTTTTGCATGCCCTCAATTATTGCATAACAATTTCTAACACATATGGATGAGTTACAAAGTGTTAAAAAAAACAATTATTAACATATCTAAGCATTTAAACTATTAGACATATATACTGTAATGTGAGCCTTAATATAAAGTAGTACCAAGTTTTATTATATAGTGAATTATCATGCAGGAGGTAGTGATCGGATGATGGGTACACTTTGTCCAGAAAGGGATGGAATTGTTCAGCAACTTTATTCCGATGGCAACAATGTGCCAAGTAAAAATCAACCACATGTTAAATATAACCAAGCCATCTGAAAGCTACATATGGAATACATCCACACATCCAACCAGGCAACAGTTTTCTACTTTGTTATTGACCAAGTTTGATTAACCTGTGGCAAAGTAGCCTTTGATCCATTCATACCTGACAGAACCGGCAATTTGATCCTCTGCAGCTCCTGCCTTTTGGCTTCAAGGTTAGAGGTATTGTGAATTCAGAGATAAAATTCAGAATACCCTGATCTTAACTTGTTATTCTTTTATCTACTATTCCCATTCAAACATCTTGAAGCAGTCTTTCTATTCTTCTCATCAAAAAGAGATTGCTTTATTGTGAAATACAACTCAACGTGCAACAACCATGCCATGTTAAAAGACACTAAATAACATTTCTTTTCTCATTTATAAGATTAAGTGTCTCTTGTCTGTGTCTTATAGCTGTAATTACTCATATTCTACCAATGATGCTGCAATGTTCCAAGTCATAAGGAAAAATAAATAAATTTTTCCACCTGAAGTGTCCTAAATAGACCCAAGTATTGAGGCCACAAGGCATGTGAGTTATTCTTAGAAACATATCAAACAACTGACATGGGCTGGAGAGCAGGAGATGGAATGAAGAAAAAAAGCTCAGCCAATATGTTGAATATAAATTAACATAGATAAGAAGATTGTTGTGCTCGTTTATCTTGAGACATATCAGTCTTGCTAAACGTCGGCCTAATTTTGTTATGGAATAAACTGAGATGTTTTTCTTTAAACATCTCAAGTAGAGAGAGGCTAATTATGTCTCTATTTCTCTCTGGGCCAGATCAAACAGTCTGTAGCACTAAATCCTTGACCCCATTGCAAAACACTGTAAGGTTATGGAAATAGGATGGAAATAAAAAAGACATTTGTAAATGAAAGTCATGCTTGATAAGAATCTCATCCCACCAACACAGAACTGTGATCTGGGTTTGCAAATGTTTGAGGCTTTCACAATATATTCTAAATTAACATTGTGAAAGCAAATTTATATCTTTGAAAGAATGGAAAAGAAAGAAGCCGTAGGACTACGTGATATCAAATGAGATGGATCTATTATATAAATTAAAGTTATATAAGTTTAAAGTTGCCTTCCATGTCATCCTCTTAAAAAGTTTTGCAAAGATAATGTCACAAAGTAAGGCTGCCATCCAATCAAAAAGACCTAATAATAATTTTTTAACTTCACTTTAGGTGTTTGCCAAAAACACTTTTAAAGGGGGTGCAGTTTCCTCTTATACGTTACATTGCTGTCTTCCTATTGATGTTATAATCATTATTACAATTTCTGCATATAGCCTATGTTATGTAGACTTATGTAGTCCTTTTTTCTGTTTTGTGTGTTTTTTGTTTTGTTTGTTGTTGTTTTTCTTTTTTTTTGCATGCATGGAGACCAACCTAGACGGGTGCTAATCTCGTTATATATCCTCTCTTCCCTTTAAAACCATCTCCCCATCTTTTTCTGTCTCCTATTGTTTTTCTTTATAGTCCTGTGTCCATGAAAAATGTAACCAACAACATATATTTTCATTAATTACGTTGAATACATATATACAACAAGTGGAGGTCTAAGACAGAAATCGTGAAAGTAAATCTTTTGGGCGTCATAGTGACAGACTATAGTTTTAAGTGGCACATGGGCAGAACAGGACAAAGAAACAAAGAAATTTACATTTCATTGGAAAAGTAAAGTTAAAAAAATGACAGCACAGCTCAGTATATCAACCTTAAATACTTTGAGGAGATACAGATGTAAAAAAGAAGTCATCTGATCTAACAAATTAAATATGCTATGACCAAAATTGACAGTTGTGTGTAATGATGTAGATCTTATGTAAGATGGAGGATTTAACTGTTCATTATTCCAGGCCAGAATTAAGACAAAATATAATGTCAAATAATAAAAAAAAAAAAAAGAATTGAAACCCTTTTGTTTAAATCCATTGAAAACTTTCTCTTATCACCAAGGAGTCTATATGAATCAAATTGGGCTCAATATATAACAACTGACCCTTACCTGAGCCTGCACCCACCCTCAATAGTCACTTACCAAGTTACACCTTGATCACACACTTTATATAACCAATAACCAGCTTCTTGAATTATCCTTACCGGATATTTCAACCTTCTTCTTGAAAGAATGTTTTGTTAGATTTATTCATATCCAAGAACATACCTGGCTTTCAAGCCTTCACAAAGGTTCAAGAAGGCCATAGTATAAGCCTAATGTTCTATTTTATCCACCCAAGACTCTTTTCAACAAATATTTTGTATCATATGCTGTTGGAACATGGATTAAGACCATGTTTTAACCAACCAGAAAAAAATGGGAGGATGTTCTCCTTAATTATTTGATCCATTTTGTGCAATACACAGGTACATATGATTTAAATGAGCCAGACGCTGCTGTCAATATGCCTAAAAACTGTAACATTACTCTCTGAAAGCCGCATATTATCTTAACATGTAACAAGTTATTATTGTGGCCAAATATATCTCCATAGAGGGGATTTGTGTTTTGCATTTTAGTTATGGTTAAAGGGAATTACAGTGCCTTGCGAAAGTATTCGCCCCCCTTGAACTTTTCAACCATTTGCCAAATTTTAGGCATGCAATTATTTTGGAGAATCAACAACAAATGGGACACAATTATGAAGTGGTACATGATCTATTGGATATTTTAAACTTTTTTAACAAATAAAAGACTGAGGAGTGGGGCGTTCAAAATTAATTGGCCCCTTTACTTTCTGTGCAGCAAACTCTCTCCAGGAGTTCAGTGAGGATTTCTGAATGATCCAATGTTGACCTAAATGACCGAGGATGATAAACAGAATCCACCTGTGTGTAATCAAGTCTGCATATAAATGCACCTACTCTGTGATAGTCTAAGAGGTCTGTTTAAAGCACAGAGAGCATCCTAAAGGACAAGGAACACACCAGGCAGATACCAGATACTGTTGTGGAGAAGTTAAAGGCCGGAATTGGATACAAAAACATTTTGCAAGCTTTAAACATCCCAAGGAGCACTGTTCAAGCTATTATATTGACATGTAAGGAGTATCAGACCACTACAAATCTACAAAGATCTAGCCACCCCTCTAAACTTTCAGCTCAAACTAAGACAACGCTGATCAGAGATGCAGCCATAAGGCCTATGATCACTTTGGATGAACCGCAGAGATCTACAGCTGAGGTGGGAAACTATGTCCATAGGACAACAGTCATATACAGCGCATATCAGGCCTTTATGGAAGAAAGACATTTCTTAAAGATATCCATAAAAAGTCTTGTTCAAAGTTTGCCACAAGCCACCTGGGAGACAGAGCAAACATTTGGAAGAAGGTCCTCTGGTCAGATGAGACTGTAATCAAACTTTTTTGGTAACAATGCAAAACGTCAAGTTTGGCGTGAAGCAACACAGCTCATCACCCTGAACTCACCACCCCAACTGTCAAACGTGGTTGTATCAGCATCATGGTTTGGGTCTGCTTTTCTTCAGCAGGGACAGGGAAGATGGTTAAAACTGATAGGAAAATGGATGGAGCCAAATACAGTACCATAGTGGAAGAAAACATTTTGGAATCTGAAAAATACCTGAGACTGGGACAGAGATTTATTGTCTGACAAGTCAATGATCAAAAACATACAGCAAAATCTACAATGGAGCGGTTCACAAATAAACATATCCAGGTGTTAGAACGGCCAAGTCAGGTTAGTGCGCACGACCCATGAATGGAGGCCTTAGTCCTCAACACGGCTCACCAGGGTTCCAATCCGACCTGTGGTCCTTTGCCGTATGTCTCTCCCTCTCTCTCATACCCTCTTTCCTGTCAGCCTACTGTGGAGAAAAAAAGCCACTAGTGCTGTAAAAAAAAAGCTAAAAAAAAGAATGGAAAACTCAAAGTCACTGAAACACTTTCCATCCAACCTCACTGGAGCAGCTCGAGCTGTTTTGCAACGAAGAACAGAAAAAAGCGTCAGTCTCTGTGCAAAACTGATAGAGACATACCTTGAGCTGTAATTGCAGGTGGCGCTAGAAAGAATCAACGTAAGGGGGCTAAGTAATTTTGCACACCCAAATTTTTTTTTTTTATTTGCTAAAAAATAAACTTTATTAAAACTTTATTCCACCTCATGATTATGTCCCACTTGTTGCTGATTCTTCACAAACAATTACAATTCTATATCTTCTAGTTTGAAGCCTGAAATATGGCAAAAGGTTGAAAAGTTCAATGGGGTCGAATACTTTTGCAAGGCACTGTATTTAACAGCAAAGACCTCTTTCTTACTCAGTAATTTGTCCCTACATGTCCAAGTCAAACATGCTTGACTGGACAGGATTTTATATCAGAAGCTTAGGGATGGCAACAAAAAATAGTGAGTGACCAGTTAGCAGAGGTGTTATGTATTTGAGGTTTTGAGGAAAATGTTGGTTCCAAACGGATTAGAGAAAACTGAAAGGAATTCCTGTGTGTTGCATTTTCTTTCCATTATACAAAAATAATGGTTTGAATGCAATGAAAGGCTCAAAATAAATATTAAAATCCTCCATCGTAACCATCCTAAGTGTTTTTACATATTGTGGTTTTTGGAAACACGGTGACAGATAGAAAGCTGATTCTGAGAACAACACTAGCAACACATTTTAACAACATGCCAAGAATTACAGAGCCAGACAGCTGCATTAAACTCTTTACAGCATGTTGCATGATGACACAACCCATATCTGCAGCATATAGGTGACATTACACAGATTGCAGAACTGGCACAATGGCCAAAAACTGAAAAAAAAAAACACATAGTAAGAAATTCAGATTTTAACATATTCTCTGTTTTTTGTCATTGAGTATTTACATGGGATTTTTTTTAATGACTCTAAACAAATCTATATATTTTCTTAAGGATATATAGTTTGTTTTTTTAAACATAGCTTTCCACAAATACAATATACGGTATCATAGAAGAAAAACTATCCATTCTATATTACAGGAAATGGAAGCAAACTTCCAGCAATAGAGATCTAAAAAACAAATTAAAAAGTATACATTTCTAAAAGGCCATTCCTTCGCTATAGAGCTGTATTTCACAAGACAGAAAAAAAAGACTGTTGTTTAGGCTGCAGACTCCTGTGTTGGTCAGCTGCTTTACACAACCAATCAGCCCAACAAAAAAAACAAAATCTACTCCTTATCAAACTCTCAAGCACTAAAAGACTCAGTGATATATCTAAGAGGTCTTCTACCTACTGTATATTGTCATTACTTATGTCCCCTGGTTCCTATTCTACAAAATTCAAGCTCTTGTAAACTGAATTATTTAAACACCCTTCATCCATTTGCACGTTGACGAATTATCTACCATTAATTTGGGAAAAGTTTTTTGAACAATAGGCTCTGAACTAAGAATTTAGAAGCTAAGGTGAAACATTCAAGCATTTCAAGCACAGTGAAAAGAACAATAAAACAAACACGAAGCTACCTGCTTTCGACAAGTAACAATATTGGAAATTCTGCTAAAATCTACAGTATTTATTTAAAATAAAATTCAACAAATATTGATTAAATTAAGATTTAAAACCAGTTAAAGTTCAAATAGTTTACTAAGGCTAATGAATGAATGGAAATACAATTTCAATATAGTAAATATGGCCTTTTACAACATTTTCCCTTTTACCAGCTGTGTCTTAGCATTGTAATGTTATTTTTCTTTGTAAAAAAAAAAAAAAAAAACAGGATAACTAAAGACTTTCAACCTACGAAAATGGTCAAGTTGGGCCTCCATTAATGCTTGATATTATTTAGGTAACCTTTAATCATAAAAAAAATATTTTCAATACATAGCAGCTTTGAAAAGATCTTTTTGAACTGAAAGTTGTGTGAGGAATTGATTATTTGTTTGATCTTCAAAGTGGCTTTGGTCGCTCAGTGTTTGCTCCCACTGTCGAGATCCCCATACCTGAAAGCATTAATATGTATTTGACCGCTCTGTTTGAACAATGCTACAGCACCCTTGACAGAACCATTTAAATGTTTACCAATAGGAACTCCACAAACCAAACACAGAACAAATACAAATATTATTCTTTAAGTTTTTATTATAGGGTAACTGATTTACCAGCTGTATAAATAAGTGTCAGACAAGCATTGTTACTATCAAAGTGACTGATTAGACTTTTGCGCTTTTGGTGCTCTAAAGTTTTGATTAAGTGTTGAGATAAACATTTCTGTAGCAGACCACAGATACGTTAAATTCACCGAGCAATTAAAGATCATTAGTCAGTAAGCATCAGTTAATATAATACCATGTTCTTACTAATGATTTAAAATCCCATTGCATAACTTCAAGAGGAATTGTAATTGAATATGGTTGCTAATGGAGAGACAGCAGCAATTTACCAGGGTTCAAATGTAAAAGTTCTATTTACTTTATAGGACAGACAGTGGCACGGGAAGGGGGGTGCTGTGGGGGCTGCAGCCTCCCTCGTCATAGCATCAGCCCCCCATGGTGGGGGGCAACATAATATTGTACTTAAAAACATGAAATTATTTATGTATTTATTTTTTAAAAGACTGTGTTTGATATGGGATTAAAATGATGGGCTGTGTATAAGATATAAACTAATGATTCATTATTTTAATATTTCATAAAAAACTAGGCTACTACCCCAGAAGTGCTTCCGCCACCTTACATTCGTTTAGGCATGGGTAGCAATAGGCAGCAGAAACGTATTTCTGACTATTTCGAGGTGAGAAATGGTTTTAATTCCCCTATACGCTAGAATAAGGCTGCATATCACTAAATATTATGTCTGTATTAAGCTATTAAGTGATAAAATATGAAATTATTATTTTTTTTTTGTGTGTTTTTTGTTTCAGATATGAAATCATTCCCCCATATCCATAGTCGAATGGACTTTCAAGATGTTCAATGCTCAGTTTAGGCTATATTTAGGCCATGTTTCATTCAAGTATTCCTGTTCCTGTTGATTGCAAGCTGTTGTTTGTTTTCAATTCAATTCAGTTTATTTCTATAGCGCCAAATTCACAACACATGTCATCTCAAAGCACTTTACAGTTCAACCAGATCATCCAGTCAATTGATACAAAGTTTTCTATCTAAGGAAAACCAGTTGATTGCATCGACTCATTGACTCAGATACAATCCCTCACACTAAGCATGCTTTTAGCGACAGTGGAGAGGAAAAACTCCCTTTTAACAGGAAGAAACCTCCAGCAGAACCAGGCTCAGTGTGAGCGGCCATCTGCTGAGGCTGACTGGGGTTCAAGGAGACGGAAGCAGAGACATAAAAAGCAGCTGTAAAAGGCGGCCCCGTCCAGGAAACACACAGCCAGGCAGACGATCAATTTTGAAAGATTAAAAGAGAAGATATAAAGTTTAAAATGTTCATGCTTTGTTCCGATGCATTTTAAATGGCAGTTTTTGGCGACAAATGTAGGCCTACAATATTATGTTAAAAACGTCAGCCACAGCCCTCAACAAAATGAAGTCATGTGTTTTCCAACCCAGCCATCAGCCCCCCTCGCTTGAAACAGCTTCCAGCGCGCCTGAGGACAGACCAAAACAAAGTATGTCATTGTTAAAATCTAGGCAAACGTTTCAAAAGGTTTCTTACAAATAGAAAAGTGTGCCATGCATTTTCATTTGGACCCATTCATTCTGTTTATTCTAGAGGGTGACCCGACTCCAAACCTATCAAGACATTGCCGTCCACCCCAGCGAACAAGCCAGGCAGGGAAAGCGAGAGAAGCAGCCAAGAGGCCCATGGAGAAGAATCCCAGGTTTACCGCTAAGGTTACGAAATGTGTTGACAGGAAAACAAATTACTGGTTGTGTACTCAACACATCTGGTGTTTGTGGTATTGTGGAAAGAATAAAGCTATTGTTTAAACACAAACATAAGGAGCCTAGCTTGCAGTTTATTAAAAGCAAGTGGCACAGGAAAAACAGAAGAAGATGACTTGGTCAGAAGAGACCCATATTAAATGTTTGGGCCCTAAACTAAAATTATAAAGGAACCTGAACACACTATCCCTATAGTGAAACATGGTGATGGCAGTATCAGGGTGTGGGAAGCTCAGTTTGCTCAGAAGGAACATGGAGGATAGCCTGAGCTGATAGGAAGCTTAATACATAGCAGTTCAATAGATAATATAAGGCTGCAAATTACTTGAAATTGAGCTTCACAATTTGAAAACATACAGTCAGAGCTAAAACTCCAGACTGAAATTACATTTGAGATTCTGAGGCCAAACGTTAAAGATGATGTAAACATAGGTTTTCTATCAAACTCAACTTAGGTTCAGCTCTTCTGCAAAGGCTCGTGGGTGAAGCCTTTAAAGTGTGGACATTCACACAACGTAGAGATGGGACTAAAGACTTGAAGCATTAATGGGATTGAAACGATCATTTGAAGGGCTGAATTAACTGAAATGGGTAACAAACTTTCCTATTTTACAAAATCAAGCAGTCTAAATATGCATGAGAAGCATCAAAATGTTAATTTTATTAATGAGGGCACTGATTTCTCAGAGCTATCTACAGTCATTTGGTAGAGATTTTCCACAGGGAGACCAATTTTTAAGATTAACTAGAAAAGCTATTAAACTTTACAGGACATGTACTCACATAGAGGGGCACCTTCCTCCTGCTAAGCTCCATCACCAGCTGCAAGCAGAAAAAAAAATGACAAAAAAATTTAAAGAAATAAAAAAGATGGGGGGAAATGCATTGAGTATACCATGCGACTCCTTCCTTATGGGGTTTTTGTTTTTCCATTTGATCCTGAAGAGGTTATCAAAGCAGTCAGAAGGGTCACATCTATAAAAACATTTTTTATTTTTTTTATTTTATCAAAAGAAGTTGAACAATGATTTTAATGAATGACCTTCTTGCTTTGGTGTGTGTAAAGAGAGAAGACCAGAATGTCCACGAATCTGATACACACATGCTAGTTTGATACTGAGCGTGCCCGCTGACGTGCACGAGCAGGAAATCGATTACATTTCAATGCTGCAGGGTTCAGATCTGCTCTGTGTCAGCGGACACTTCCTAAATGAGACCCAGCAGCGAGATCTTAAACTGCCACAGTCATTGCTCATAATGAGACAGCTTCCTGTCCACTTCCAGTCTTCTCAAATCACACTCAGAAAGAAGAAAGCAAATCTTCCTCCAGGGGATAAGTGTGGAACTAGCTGTTTATGACACAGCAAATGTCTTCCATAATTAATAAAAGCATTAAATATGCTTAAATAGTTGCACTGAAAATGTTTTTTTTTTCTCTATGGCTCTAATTTATAACCAGATGCATATTCAGCTGCAGAAGCTTCCAAGACCCCTAAAAACACTTCTGCAACAAATTAAAATATCCTAAACTGACATAAATGCAATTATTTTGTCCTTACCTTGCAAGTAGAACCTGGGGGTGAGCTGTATTTCCTTCAGAACAAGCTCTTAACTGGGATTCATATTCTTCTTGTAAATAAGCGATCAGACTGAGGCCACTGCTGCATGCAGACTGTCTCAGCCTTCCTCTGGTACAGCACTGATGCTTTTTCAGTCTTCAGCTAAAATCCCTCCTTACATCATATAGGTACCTTACCTTATTGCTACAGTGACCTCAAGTGGAAGAAAATAAAACAGGCAAATTCATGTTTAAGCATACATTTTCAGTGGAAATTTACAGTCCCTGGCACCTAAAGCCACTTCAAAAATTTCCAACTTTGACAAATTCTTCAGTATGGATATGGTTTTCAAAGTTTTTCACAAATAACTGTCTAGGCCAGGGGTTTGCAACCTTTAAAAGTCCAACGAGCCATTTTTCCAGAGCCCAGACAAGCATTAGTTGTTTTCTGAGCCAGAAATTTTACATGACCTTTTCATAAAATAAAATGTATTTTTCAAGATGTACAATATTATCGTTATCGGACAATATTAGCTTAATAACTAATACACCAATATATTCAGCAATATATAAGGCTCTGTTTTTGTGATATAACTTGAGAATTAGGCAGTGCCCACGCCAAAGTTCGACAACAAGGAGATTCTGAAGTAGAGATGTTGCTGGTATTGATGTTTTTTAAAGTCACAGAAACAGATAGTCACTCTGCTATTTGCATGAGTGCAAAGGACAGAAGGGAGCAGACAGCATAGTGTATGTAAGTAAATCTAGGGGGAAAAAATATGTGTTATTAGATTGTTGAGTTGTTAAATATCAGCACATCAGATTTCAGCAAAAATTCCAATACCGTGCATCCCTGTGTACAGTTGTGCATGAAAGTTTACATACCTGTCCATTAAAGACAGACAAAAGTAATAATAAAAATAATAAAAACAATGGAAATCATGAAATTAATTTTATATATAAAACCTATGATCATCCACCTAAACTCAACAAACCTGACCTTAATAACAGAGCAAGAAAAAAAGTAAGTGTAGTTTTATAACAGCTAGAAGTCCACAAATCATGCAGCGAACACAGGAAACGTGGAAGGTGCTTTGCTGCAGTTAGACCAAACTAAATTACGTGCAATTTCGTGATCTTTTGTCCCTATTTTGGAGAGAATCTGGTCAGAGATGATTGAGAGGAGCCAAGTACAGGGTAATGTTATGACCGAATTTAATAAGTTGCTTTTTTTGCCTTTTTTTTAAGTCTTTGAAAACAGTGTATTGCTGTTTTAATAGCATGATCATTAAATATGCACAATTTCTAATCAGAATATTTACATTGTACTGTATAAAAAAATGAAACTATATATTATCTTCCTTCTACTTTGTGATTCTTTGTGTTGGTCATCACAAAATAAATCCTCAACCATCCATTAAAGTTAAAAAAAAAAAAAGAAAAAGTCTAAACAATCCAGGAGCGTCAATATTTTTGTAATCATAACAAAAAGACCAACTAATGCCATGTTGTTCTTTAAACAAAAAAAAGCATGACTTATGAAAAAAAAAAAGTTTATTTTTCTTTGCTTACAAGTGTCAGATATTCTGAAAATACTTCAGACACATACATATTCACATTTACAACCGAAAATGTTACAAGTATTAATATTAAAGCAAATCTTTTAATCTGCTTCCAAAGAGTCTTCACATAAATGCATGGTCCCGTTTTCATTAGGCGCCCATGTTAAAACCAGAGGGTTTACACTGAAACTGGATCAGATGGATTGAAGGAGGCATACTCTGCTATGATTGGTTGATGTTTCCTTAGCTGTTTAAAGAAAGAAGAAAACAAATCTTTTCAAAGGCGTCTATCATCTTACATTGTTTCAGACGCTAATGATAAGTATAATATTTATTTTGCAAAAAGATTTTAACACATAAAATGTATTAAAAAATGAAGCTAGTCTGGGTAAAGTGTTGAACGGACCCAGTCTTTTGCTTTGTGACCTTTCACAGCAGAACACAGCTGCTGGTTTAAATTCATAACAAATCAAACTATCTGTCAAAGAGCATCATAAAGGGAGAAATCTGATTGGCTTGTTTATACTCCAATTGTATTGATGGGGGTTTAAAAACAAATGTTAGTTCAGTCGAGATAGAAGACTTTGGTCTATGGATGCCCACCAGTAGACCTCCCATCCATCAGCATGCAAAATGTTGCATTCACCGTAGATTTTATATCAATCACATATGGTGTTTCGTGATGTTTATACACAGAATGATCTCCTGACCCCAATTGAGATTTTATAAAAATCACCTTAACCCTGGCTAAAATCAGTTCTTCCTCTCAGTTGATCTCAGGTGACATGAAGCTCTGATCTTGAGCTGCATGCTTCGCCTTGAGCCAAGCCATTAGATCTGCTATTGTCGGAGAACGGCACCTCCTTACGAGGAATGGAGGTGGCAAACATGGTGTCCAGCATTCCTAGGACCTCCAGGAGCTCCCGCTCCAAGTTGATCTCAGACTCAAGCAGGCTCTGAAGGCGCAGCAGCTGCCGGTCGATCAGCGCTGACTGGCCGACCACTGACTTGTAGATGTCCAGGATCATCTCCGCTGCAGTCACGAGAATGGGGCTGAACCTAGTGTCAACTATGTTTCTGAGGAAGAAACAGAGAACATTTTTAAACTTTCAATTAGTGAATCGATACATGCCCCGTCTGTCTTTAATTCTTAACTTTAAGGATTTGTGTTGAAAACATTAGATCTGATCTGCTCCATACCCGATGACAAAGTGGAGTAACTGAGAGAGCTGCTCCTCATCTCTTCCTGCGAGTGCGTTCTTTAGAGTTCCTCTACGGTCAAGCTCCTTCATGACAGCCACAGTGACCTCTGGCTGCCTCTTTCTTAACCAGGGCTGTCAGAAAAGAAGATAAAAAAAAACTTAATTTGCCCCTTAACAGTCGGCCTCGGCTAAAACCTATTGGCTCCTGAAGCCTCTGGGGCCCACCAGAGGGCAATGGATGGTCACCTGGTTGAAAGGCTATCTAAGCCATTCTTTACTAATGTAATGATTTTAATCATAGCAAAAAATATATATAAACATTATTTAACGTTTCAGATTCAGGACAAGAACTTAAGCTAAGCTCAGAAATAAGTCTAAGATCAGGATATTTAGTTTTCACTGCTGGTGAACAGAAAAAAAAAGTTGTCACAAGATTTCGGGTAACATGATTTTACATTATATTTGATTTCAGTCTCATTTAACTTAAGGCTCATAGAAATTATCTACAAACTATGCAAAAGTGTTTTTACTACAGTGGTTTAAATATCAGGAGATTTCAGCTGCAAAGAAAAGAATTGCATTGTTCTCTACTGAATTGACATGATGGATGACAGAGGAAAGTGAAGATCAGATTTATGGATAAATGTGACTGATCTAAGGATTTCTCTGGACTGTTCATTATCATTTTATGAACTGAGACAGAATTTTCTTTTTTTTCCCCCACAGAACTTCAATGGAGTAAGATCATGAAGAGCTCATGACTTATGAAAAATAAAAAAGCTTTACACGTGAACATAAAATCCTGGTAAACAATTAACAAAAAAGAACCCTTCCTCACTTTTTGAATGATAAGATAGAAACTCTTACCTCCATGGCTGTATCCAAAGCTTTAGATACACTGAATTTCTTGAGCTGCCTGTCATATTTGGCCAAATGCTCTTTAACCGGCTTGCTGACAAGATAATCATCCTGTAAAATGTATAAAGAACATTAGAAATAAATAGCAACACCATAACAGTTCTTACATAAAATGAAAATCTAATGATAAGAGTAACATTAAACCTACTTGTTTTGGAACATAATTTTTCCCTTTCACAAATACACGATATGAAGGACGCTGCCTCTGTCGGTTAAGTCCTTCCTTTGACTCTTCTGAGTGTTTCCTGTGTTTGATGCTCAGAATACTGTTGGTCATCCCAACAACGATAGACTCATCATCCGGCTGAAACAGAAAGGAAAGCTGTGACCTTCAGCTCTTGGGAAGCATGTCTGATTCGCATCTACTCTGATCTGAAAGCTGCTACAACATAATTATTAAGGTTTCATTTATTTTAATGCATTTTTCCACAAAAACATGATGTTTTCCTTACAGCCAAAGCCAGACTGAGGATTGCAGCGGCATAGTCAAAGTTGTGAACCACTTTGTAGCTGGTTGTGTTGTAGACCTTCACATGCCTGAAAGACAAACACAGCCCTTTCACTCAAACTGTTTCATTCATTCCTCTTATTTACAGAGGGTGGCAACAACGAGTCTAGTACTTCCACTCTAATGTGTATACACCTTTAATACACACAATTGCAAAGAAAGTGACTAATAAAGTACATATTTACTACCTTTAATTGACTGTGTCAGATTTAAATAATGTATAGTATTGATTTTATGTCTACAGTTTACTATATCTTGAAGCTCTTCTACCTGTCCAGAGACGCAGACAACAGCCTCTGTCCGTTACTGCCGAGAGCCAAACAGGTGACAGTTTTATGATGGTTCTTCAGAGACACCAAAGGCTGGCCACCTTTTAACAGATCCCACACTTTGACGTAGCGCCCACCTAGGAGAAGACATCAACCAAAATGTGCAATTTAAGGATTTATTCTACATATTTGCAAATTAACTTAAAAATAAAGTGTGTTTATACACCACATATAAACTATAGATTCCTTGATGTCTAAACAAACAATAAAATGCTAAAAAAAAACATTCATTATCATGTTTACCTTGTAAAACAGATCGAAAAAAGCTGAAAAACCTAAACTGTATCTTAGATGTTTGTGTTACATAACAACCTACTTTAGCCTTTTTTTTGAACTCATAAGATTTAATTTGAGTGAGTATATTATGCAATACTATGTTTTTGTTTTTTTATTATTGTTAGATTAGATCAAGCAATGAAACAATATGTAAAAACTTTTTTATGGCTATACCTGGGGTACCAGTAAAGGTTCTCTAAATATTTGGGGAATATTGCTGCAGCTAATGCAATGCAATTGCTGGTTGTTGGTTTTTAACATTAGTAAATAATGGCTGTTTTAGCTCCTAAGCTGAATTTATTTCTAGCTTTATAATAAACAATACAACTAAACCTAATAGAGTTAAACAGAGCAGTGCGGATCTTGTAAAGGAGCTCAGCTTAAACACTAAACAGCTGCTTTCTGTTCGGTCCTGAAGGATTTTGATAGATGCTCTGTCTAAATTGGCTACTTAAATTTCTGTCACATTACATGGTGGTCCACCCCTTGAACATTTTTCACTGACTAAACTATAAAGACATATTAATTATGATGTAATGACATGTTTATTGTAGGGGAGTGGCAGCCTAGTGCTTAGGGCATGGAGCTTGGAATCCAGAGGTTCTGAGTTCGAGCCCCACTCCCAAAGACTGCCACTCCGGGTCCCTGAGCAAAGACCGTTAACCCCCAATTGCTCCCCAGGTTTACTTCTCAATAGACGCGTGCATTTTCATAGTAGCTTTTGGTTATATTTGGTAGAATAAAAATTAGAGCTTTATCTAACCTAAACTTTAACATGAGTGGTAGCAATAAGGCTGACAACCTGCTGAGACAAGAAGTCCCTCAGAGGGATAAAGAAGGAGGCTCTCCACCGGCTGCCCATGCTCCATAGTCATCACACTCTTATCTGTTCTGGCATCAAACACCTTCAGAGTGTGGTCATAGGATCCTGGAGCAAAAAAAAAAGAAAAAAAATAGTTTATTGGTTATTCAAATCAACTGGACGAGGAAACATTTGGACTCCCTTTGTTTTTATTTTTGTTTTGCATCAAGATAGAAACTACCTAGAAAGCAACAGATATTAATGTTAATCAGCGAAAAGGTTAACTTCCTGTTGCCCCTTTGGCATTTCCCCACACTTCTACAGAAGGACATTCTAACTCACCGGTAATGAAGAGATCTCGGTTCAGCTTGCTGGCAATGCCGCAGCGAATGTAATCCGTGTGTTCTTGGTAAGTAGTGAGCTCAGCTGCATTCGGGATGTCCCACAGCCGGCAGGTGTAGTCGTCAGACCCGGTGATGATCTGGTAACGGTCTGATGTAAAGTCTGTGACATGTACAGCCCTGAGTAAAGAAAAACCAACAGAAAAATATTCAATTTAAATGTATTTTAGTTGACTTTTCTTATGTGGGATTACAGAACAACAGGTAGCATGTTGTCAGAATTCTTTGGATCAGCATCAATTTCAGTCGATGGATCACTTAAGAAATCATCATTCAAGATTTTTGCCATACAAAATATCCATTAGATGTCAAGTGATATTTAAAAATGTTAACATAATTACAGCTCAAGCATTAATTTTAGACTTAAAAGTGTTAAACTTCACATTTGATTTAACTGATCACAGTGGAGAGGGTTTAATTATTGGTACAGGTAAGTAAATAATATAAAGCTCCTGTTATACAAAGGCCAATGTTATTCTCACTATAAAATAATCTTGGCTCAAAATGCCAAATCTTGACTGCCCTACTTTATTTAGAGGAGAGCATAAAACATGGATGTTTAACATGATCTTACAAATTTTTTGCATAAGGAAAAACAAAATACTATTCAATGTGCAGCAAAAACGATTCTCTAAAAGGGATGATTAAAGCCCTCTTAGCTTCCTCCATTCAATTATTATTATTATTATTATTTTTTCAAGGCATAAGTTAAGGTTAAAAAAAGGGTTCAAGCCTGCCTTATGTCAGTGACTCACAGTTTGTAGCAAAACTGAAGCACCTTCTCTTTTATGACATAATAAGAAAGCTAAATAACAGAAACATACTATAATGCTCATCATTTTAGCCTTTTTGAAACTGTAGCTCTTAAAACCTCTGGTATCCCTTGTTACCAGTATCCAGCTAATATCTAGTTTATTTAAGATAGATAAAACTGAGTGATAAAGAAATAACCTTTAACTTAAGGTGAAGAATATTTATTCACTCAGGACCTTATAGATATTATACCTCTCTAACTAAGGCAAAAGCTTTAACCAAACATTACTATAAACTCTGCAGCAACTTATAAAGGTGTTCATTCTCTGGCACTTTACATTTTCAGCATAGGACAGAAAATGTATGTAAAAAGCTTACTTTGTGTGCCCTTTGAACATCCTAAGTGCCACCTTGCCGCTGACATCAAAAAGTCGAACAACTGAGTCTTCGCATCCTGCTACAAGCAGCTGGCCGTCCGACCTGAACCTTCCACAATAAGCAGTGTCCTTGAAACGAGTAAATGTCTTAACAGGCGCTTGGGAGAAGGGCCCATAGATGTGAATCTAAAAAGAAAAAGAAAAACAAGAAAATATTTTATTGAAATGATTATAAATAATCAATAAAGGAAAAACGATTTGTAAATTTCAATAATTGTTCTTCATATTTGTCACTGTCAACATCAATAAGATATTCATATAATGGAGTTTAAATGAATACAGAATTTAAATTTCCAATTTCTTCATGTGAACTATCTAGAATCAACCCAAACAGCGTCAACTCACTCTTGTAAAGGCTGTTACAGCAAAATTATGCGGAGCCACAGGAGAGAAGTCAATGTTTGAGACGGCTCCAAATTCTTTTATCTGGACAGGAACCTATGAGAGAGATAAAGAGGGGAAACATGTCAGCAAATGCATTCATTCAAAAGGATCACAAACTGTTTAAGATTTTATTTCAGCCTCTCACCTTGTAGTTTTTCCAGTAAAGAGTATCCTGTGTGACCTTCTCTCCCAGTTTTGGATACACCAGGATTTTAGTGGGTTTGAATGAAGCCATCTATATGGTGCTTGCAGAATAATCTACATATAGAATATTCAAACGAGAAATACTGGGATTTAAAAAGTGTGTTTTTGTCATTTTAAGATGATAAAAAAATTAAAAAAAATTAACAGACTAAAACTCATTTAAATAGCTGAGTCAAAGGTCCAGAGTTAGTTCTATGTGTCTATATATGAGGTAAATATAAATTATAAAAATGAATCAAAAACTTAAGTATTAATGCAATTTATTTTAAATTATGTATGTTTACCTTTAATAGACTTACCAACTTCTTAATAAAATTAGGATAATAGGTCTATGATTATGGAGCTAAAGCACAACCACATTAGTATTGGCATCTAAATAGTTACAATAACAAAAAAAAAAATATTATTTACACTATATTGCAAAAGGTTTGTAAAAGTTGTTGTATTCACTTAACTGGTGTAATAAAGATATTTATCTTGGGCTGATATCTGAAGGATTTCCTTGTATTAAGGGAAACCTTAGATATTTAGCTTGGAAGGCTATATTACTTTGTTACTCTATTTAAAAGGGAACTACACAATCCAACCCCTTTCAGCTGGAATTTAAAGTACTTTTTTGTCGTTTCAAAAGCCAACATTTGACTGAATCTGAGTCTAAAAGTTTAAAGACAGGAAGAATTATAATATGTTTTTTTTTTTTTTCCAGATGAAAGAGATGTCGGAATATTACGCACGTTGACTCCCGCTCCTGTTTTAACAACATGATGTGGTTCAGACAGTAGAACCAAGAAGGGTCATGCTGGTGAAGTTAACTATATCTTTAGATCGGTCAAAACAACTAAAAAATAAATGGATTTTGTGCTCTTTAAAGCGAATCACCAAACAAAGCTATACAGACTGTTTAAACGACTATAATTTCACACGAAACTGGCTCCAGAAAATCCTCACCTTAGAAAAGAAAGAAAGGTCCCGAAGCGTAGATACCTTTCCCCTAGAATTGGGTTTAATTTTGAAATATATAGACTTTCGTTGCCTTAAGTGGGAAAAAATTTCAGATTTTAACACGGAATCACGTTGCCTGTCGGCGGACAGGAGGGCGCCATGATTGCCTGTAACTACTTCCGCAATGACAGTAATTAGTATTTTAAATACGTCTTATTTACTAAATATTTTTCTTAATTATTTAACCAGAGCCTTTAAAATTATCAGCTAGATTCAAAACTTTTATTTTTTTTCACAACTCAACAATTTTTAAATGTTTCGCTCGATAACTACTTTGCGTCACTTCCGGGTTTCTCTCCTTTCTGCCTCCATCGCCCACTGCGAGAGCCGCGTGCGTACACACTCCCAGGTCTGTTTATCGCTTTTTTCCCGTCATTTAATCGTGTCATATCAATCTGACATAAGTATGTTGTTTATAAATTAGTCCTGTACCACACTGTGAGCGTTATCGTTGGATTAACATATGTGTTAGCTCAGCCTGAATGCGAGTTTAAGAAGGCCCGATGTAGTTGTTAGCTACTTTGCTAACTGAGCACTTTCGTTGACAGAATTTGAAATGTTGCAAATAGTGTATGTCTAGTTAGTTAAACAAGTCAATTGGGGTGAAAGTGTGAGATTTTTTTCTGTGCCTTTCACTAGCCCTATTTTTTTTCTCTCTCTTTTTAAATAAAGCTTGTTCACCTCAGAATCATAAGCATTTCTTAGGCTAAAGCATTGGCTGCCCACCTCTTCCTTATGACTAAAGCAGGAGTTGCACACATGCTCTGAAGTAAGAGGCTATTTTCAGGGCCGTATGACAGCTGTGCATTCTTGTTGTTATTTAGTTGGAAAGGGCAAAACTGAGGGGATATTTTAGGGGGATTTATCTCTGATGCTTTCAGTTTGAGTGTGTCTCCTAATTCCTGTGAACTACTGTATTAATACCTTGGGGTAATTTTTGTATTCATTAGAATTTAGGTGTTTTGTGCCCCTCGTATGTCTCCCAAAAAAAAAAAAAAAAAATTAAAAATGTGTTTTATTGGAATAGAATAGCATAAGGGCCCAAATACCCAGACCCTTTGTATGCTTTGTTTATCTTGATACAAAGCAAATAAAAAATATTGATTTAAAAATAAAAAATAAACTTCTTACACAGCAATTAAGTGTATATTAAAAAAATATTAAATATTTGCCATGCTGTGCTTTATAGAGTATCAAAAGACTTTGAAACGTATCTCATATTTTTATTTAGTGAAGCTAGAATCTTTAAAACAAAAAATGCTTAACAGAAAATTCTCCAGGTGTCTGTTAACTTAAATGCTTTTAACCATATAAAGGTAATGGGTGCTGCTTCAATTATAGTTTCCAACCAAAACCTTTTTACAGACAGCCAATTCTGTTGTTCTTAAAGGGAAAGTATAGTTGCTTTCAGCAACAGGGTTATTGAGAGAGCTGTGTTTCTTTGTGCTTAATTTATTGTCCAAAAAAACAATATGGGATCTTAATGTCCTGCTTCTAAAGTCTCTGATATTTTTCATTCTGATATAAATGGTCTGCTTCTGTTACTGGTTGTTAGCTTTACGTGGGTCAGTTGTTTTCATATATTTTCTTTTTGACTTTTGTCCCCTTTTTTAGTTATATTACTTGATCAAACCTTTCCTAAATTCTATAGTACAAAATTTGTAATAAAGGGTGGTATGAATCTTGCTAATATTGTATCGGGTCAATGTTCGTATCGGCCAAATATAAAAGGTGCGATATGTGTCGTATCAGAAATGGAAAAGTTTTATCGGAACATCCCTAGAAACTAACTCTCGGCTTTGGCTTTTTATTGGAAATCAGTAAAAATACTTAAATTGTAACTATACAACGGCCAGTTTAAAGTTTTTTATTTTTTTTTCTGCAACAAACTTATTTTTTTAAACTGTGGTAAATCTAGTATTCAGCCTAGCCTTAGCAATACCAGTTGAATATATATATTTTTTAAACTCTTGTCCGTTCTTTTACTCGTCAGATGAAGGAGTCGATAATGAACCAGGAGAAGCTTGCCAAATTGCAGGCACAGGTCCGCATAGGTGGCAAGGTAAGTTGCCTGCATACTGCCAGGTGATATTTATGAAGTCTCTTGACTCATTTAACTAACCTAATTACTCTATGTTGTAGGGGTCAGCTCGAAGAAAGAAGAAGGTGGTGCACAGAACAGCTACCGCAGATGACAAGAAGCTGCAGTTTTCACTGAAGAAACTAGGAGTCAACAGTATCTCTGGTATTGAGGAGGTATAGTAAAAAACGTTTTCATATCTTGTCATGCTACAACAACAATCATTAATATAATCTATAGGGATGTTATGAAATGCATCAGCACAAGGTAGAGTGTCTGAAAATCATAAGCTGTAGGGCTGGACAATAATTTAGTGTTGGTATACATTGGCATATAATTTTATTCAATAATGCTGATATGACATCATAACCCATTTATAGTTGTTCAATATATGCTGCGTCTGTGGTTATTGTGTGCATCACTGATTGTCATTCAGGCACAGACGGTTTAAGCCAAATAGAAAGAGCTGCAGCTGACTGTGTGAGAGAGCCCTATAAAATAATTACTGCTTTCCATTTTCAGTTAACTTTGAAAACAAGGAAACCCCTTAATGACATTAAGTGCTACCGATTACTTAAAGAAACCACTTTGTGAATCTAGACTGTTATGTTATCTCACTATATCATTATCTGAGCTATCGGAGTTTTGTCTTGTTGCAACCACTTAAAGAGTCTTTAAGTGTCCTGAATAATTGTGTTCAATTCATTTTTAAATGCAATGTTCATGCAATGTTTTAAATGCTTGTGTTCAAACAAGTCTTACATTTTGTTCAAGCTAATTGGGGGATCTCGTCTGTGAATAACAGTTGGTTTGACAGGGATTCAAATATTTGGTGATCATTCTGCAAAACTCAGGATGCCATACAGAAAAAAGCCCTATATTCTGATGGGTAAACTAACAAATCAGGATTCAATATGAGTGATAACAGTGAAGTGTATACTCATCAGACAGATTTAACTGTTGGTTGTCCCGGGGTCCACCAGATCCTCCATAGATGTTCCCAGTTAGTGGAGTCCAGGAACTACAGTTGGTTCATGGTCACATCAATGTTACTCTTTCCATCTTATTTTTTAGATTGGAGAAAGCTTTGATTCGGTAGCTGGTATTGGTTTATATTGAGATCCATATACACATGAAATTCAGCATAATTGGTCTAAGATCGAGCAGTCAGCTTTTGAAACCAGTAGAAATTATTTTTAAGGAAGGTAACTGGACTTAAAGCTGTTTGGAAATTGACTCAACATGTAAAGCTGTCTTTTATTTTCCTGTAGATCTGTTTTATTTGTTGCAATTTCTTAACTCAAATTTTGTTTTCCCTGTAGGTGAATATGTTCACTAATCAGGGAACAGTGATCCACTTCAATAACCCAAAGGTTCAGGCCTCCTTGGCTGCCAACACCTTTACGATCACAGGGCATGCTGAGAACAAACAGCTAACAGAGATGCTTCCTGGAATCCTCAACCAGATGGGAGCTGATAGTCTTACTAGCCTTAGGAGACTAGCAGAGACCTTACCCAAACCAGGTACACACCAAAAACTCTTCCTGTTTTTAGACATGTTTTTCCGTGTGCTGTCCTCTTATTTAATTCCTTTCCTTATAGTTGGTGAGAACAAAGCACCCATAGTTGCCGCTGAAGAGGAAGATGATGAAGTTCCTGGTAAGTTAGCTCATTTACATGTAATCTAGATAAGGAAATAGTTTTTGCCGCAATGCAAAAGCCCTGGAAACGGTTATCTCGATGTAAAATAAAACATTGAAAATATCTTTTTTGGTTTGATTTTACAGTTCAATTCAGTTTATCTATATAGCGTCAATTCAAAACACATGTCATCTCAAGGCACTTTACAGTCCACTAGATTATACAGTCAAATTGATTCAAAGTTGATTGCATCGACTCAATGACTCGAAGGCAATCCCTCACACTAAGCATGCTTGTAGCGACAGTGAAGAGGAAAAACTCCCTTTTAACAGGAAAAAACCTCCAGCAGAACCAGGCTCAGTGTGAGAGGCCATTTGCTGAGGCAGACTGGGGTTCAAGGAGACGGAAGCAGAGATACAAAAGGCAGTTGTAAAAGGCGGTGTAGGTACCAGACCTGCTCAGGCGGTCAGATCTGCCCGGGGCCCCGCCACTTCTTATGACGCCAATATATGCCAACTTTTTTTCTTCCTCTTCTTTTAGACTAATAAAACAGTTATTCTACTTTTAGGAAATGAATGGTTGTTGGTGATACAAATTCAAAAGTAGTATAGCTTAATATGGCTAACTGACCGGGCTAAAAGAGGCTAACCTGTTAGCTACTGAGCACAGCTAGCCACAGCGCTACCCAGCTCTTTCCCTTTATATCATGCTCTTAACAGTTACTTTGTTCACCATAAAGAGATTTTTTTTTTAAGTTTTATATCGATCAGGTAAAACTTCATCGGTCATTAGACACACTAAGGCTACAAATGCTCCCGACTTAGCACATGGACGCTGCATGAGGTTTTTACCGTTGACTGGTCAACCAATATATTTTACGTCAAGTGGTGATCTTCAGCCAATCATGCAGCATAATGTCACTTGCATGCACAGAACCTGAGCAGATCTGACCACCCGAGCAGATCTGGTACCTACACCAGCCCCATCCAGGAAACACAGTCAGTCAGTGAAACAGGACTGCACTGAAAAACAGGCCGATCTCCAACATCTATAAACAAAGGTGTTGATGGCAGCAGCTCAGCTGATATTTCTCACCAGGATGGTGTTACAGCCAAACGGGAACAGACGCGGGGAAGCTCCTATGAGAAAAAGCAGAGAGAGCATAACAAAAGAGATTTAACTAACAGATTGTGTAGAGTGGGAGATTAGAGATAGAATGAAGCAGAATGATGAAAAGGGGGTCCCTGTGTCCTCCAGAAGTCTAAGCCTATAGCGGCATAACTATAGAGATAGCTCAGGATAACCCGAGCCCTTCTAACTATAAGCTTTATCAAAAAGGAAAGTTTTAAGCCTACCCTTAAAAGTAGATGGGGAAAATCCATGCTTACATTTCTGTTTTGTATCACTGCTGACCTGGATAGATTGTTTGTAGCATTAAAATACAAGCTTTTAACAGGTGGTTAACACACAATGGTCCCTATTTTAGTCTGATCAGGTTTGTATAGTTTTTTATGTTATTCCCATTATCACTAGAATTGGTTTGTTCTTACCACCAACTTCCTCTTTTTTTTTGCACTTTCAGATCTCGTTGAAAACTTTGATGAAGCTTCAAAGAATGAGGCCAACTAGAACAGAACATCTCTACGTTGTCACCGCAGCTGTCATGTCATCGGTTTTTGTTCTGCCTTTAAAAAAACCTGGTGTTAAATGTAACAGTTGGGATTGAACAAGAACATTTTTTTTCTGAAAATCATAATTGAATTTCATAGAAAGTGCACAATATTCTGTGTGATGCTGCCTTCTCTGCGTTGTAATAGCTACCTTGCAAAATGTACTGGTGAAATTGATTGTGTTTATAAAAATAAAATTTCAGTTTCTTTTACATATGCAACATGACTTTGTCTTTACATATTTTAAATCACTGCAACAGTTTATCCTCTTCAATCTTACATAATTATGACTGCTGATTTATTGTGTAAACCTGCTATTAATACTTCAAAAGTTAAGTTTATTATACATTTTATGGATTTATTACTGACAACTAATGAAGGTTGCAATAAGACTTTGTTCCTTTCATGGAAAAGAACATAAGCGTTAACATCCCAAAACATTTTTAATTTCAAGATGTGAATAAGAAAAAACAGTCTTTTTTTAAGTACCTTTGATTTAGAGCTAAATCTAGACTCAAGACTTGATTAGAACTTCAGTGCACTGATATTTGAAGAATATCTGAGTAAGACATAGGTCCTTGATGAATACTTCCTCGCCTCTGAAGCTGCATATTTTTAGTTGCCGAGTTATCTTAATTTTAATTGGCTTTTCTTGGGAAACAGAAATGGAACAAAATGATGGTAAGTGGACTGGTAAATTAACCCAGATGTTCTTACATAGGTCTTTTTAAATCTTGATGCAGTGTTGAAAATTAAGGACAGTGAATAGTAAAAAAAAAATTAGTCCTAAGTGCATGGGTCTTTAGTTTTATATGTTTGGCAATAAAAAAAAACAAATCTATACTTGAAATATATGATCCAAGTGTACAATCTACAAAAAAGGCAGAATTAAGGATCTGTTCAAGGAATAGATGAACTGGGATTTTTCCAAATTCCAAACTAGGGCTTATAATGAAAACAGAAAGTAACTTCATTATTTTCTATTTTCTGTTGTTTCCCCTAAAACTTAAATCTGTTAAGGAAGCATTGCCTGCCATCATATGCTCTTAATGGCTGTGTGTTTCTCTGCACAGTTTGAATGAAAGTAACAGGGGAAAATAAGATCTTTAAATGTTTGCTTTTAAACTGCAGTTAATGGCTTTTGGGCGAATATGTTTACACAAACTGTAACATTTAATAGTTATGCATTAGGATTACAGTGACTCAAACTTAATTTCAAAATGCTTCTTTGAATCTGCACTAGTGTTCATATAATTCTTCAGCCATTTCTGAAAGCTCATAATAAAACCTTCCTGGGTGCATTTGAACCCTTTGGTTTGAGCTTACTGATAAGATAAACTGCCACCAGTTATTGTTTTTGAAGGAGACAGATTCAGACTAGTAATTGGCTAATTGTTACCCAACAGTGGGTAATGTATTTTCTTTGTATAAAAAGATTTGGGAATGGAGGGAAAAGGAGATACTATATTGACATTAAAATGCAGTGATCTAGAAGAAAAAGTGCTGAATGATAAGATAAACCTTTGGAAAGTTATGTGATTTCTCAGAATCCTTGCAGCACAGATTCTGGGATGGAAAGGCAGTCCACGCACTCTGTAGGTGTGGACAGTCTGTATATAAAATTGGTGCATTATTTTATTGTACAAGGATCCAATGCTGGCTACAATTATTTTTTTTCTGCAGAATAGCTGGAGTTGTGTTTGCTGATAAAATTGAGGTAAGAAAAGCCATATCAAAAAGCTTTCTGGTTATATTACCTATACTGTTCTTGGATAACTATCTGTTTTAACTGAGATTTTAGTGGTCAGAACAAATGTGACTGTAATTTGTTAATGTTATCACTCTTGTGATTCCATAAAGGCTTGTTGAACAAAATCCTGTATTTATTAGTGAAGCTCCAAGCTTAACAGTCACGGGTATATATCATATCCAGTGAAGCAATTTCCAGAGCCAACATTTAACCTTCTATGTATTAAAGTACGGTTTCTCCCTTTCTAATTATGATATGGATGTTTTCCTAAAAAATAATATACCAGATTTTTTGTAGAGTATTTAAAAATGCAGTTTAATGTTGTGTTTTGCACCTAAAGCTGTTGAACATTATTTAAAACGGGTGAACGTTTGCACGCTAACATTTGCATGTTTTCCCCACTCAGATGTGACTAAAGATTTTCAGGTTTTTCAGGAACTGAAAGATTATACTCAGCTATTTTTGTGTCACTGACCGAATAGTCTGCATGCCATTTGGCTAAGCAAGATTTTAACATCATACATCCAAAGCTAAAGAAGGCTAATTTACACAGGAAATAGGAAGGTGGGTGAAAACAAAAAAGTTGTAACACAAAATATTCATACAGTAACAGTGAATTGCTCACTCATGATGGACAGGTTATGAGTAATGATAAATAGATGATGCTCTCTTTCTGTTTTCATTCTTTATGCCTTAGGTAGGTGATACTTTGCATACAGGGAAGGGTCCCAAACCATCTGTGGTTTGGAAAATCCTTTAGCCAGTCTCTTTCTTTTTCCAGTCTAAAAGCATGTTCTCTGACTGCATTATATATTGAAGAATATTTTTTGTGGTAATTATTTTTGCTGAAGATTAAGATTTTTTTTTGTAAACTAACACAGTGTTTTGAAAAAGCATTTCCCCCGAAAATATAGGACAGATTTTAATTAGAACAAAATTATTTAATTCTTTAAATACGTTTCTTTAATTAGTATCAATTATTTTTCCAAAGTGCCTTGGTCCAGAAATAAAAACATGCTATCATACAGCTGCTTCAACAAGCCCACTGTCATTTGGAAAAAGCAGACAACACTGTGGAGGTTCACATATTTGATTTCTCCTGTGTATTTAAAGCCACCTTTGACCCAAGTTTAAGCTTATTTTGAGGTGTCTCCATGGTTGAATGATTTTCAGCACTTGATGCGTAACAATGCTCTGTGCAGGCTGCTTTTATGAAAAAACCTGCTTATGAAAATTGTTTGATTACTGTGTAGCAGTGAAAATGTTCAGCCTATTTGAACACTATGCTGAAATAGCTTAGCTAGAACCCTGCTTAATATGAATAGAAACAAGGGAGAGGGTTGAAGATATGATGACGGCCTAAAATAATTTCAGTTTTGACCTGGACAACAGACTCTACTGGAGACACAGCTGTGAAGATATTTACGGAAAGCGACAGAGCAGACTGAACTTTTTAAGGAATCTTCCTTCAGTTTTCAGCTGCTTACCTTCTATAAGTCTGTCTTTCTACCTTCATCTGCTGGGTTAACAGCCCCAGAGCAAATGGCTTAAAGCTATTAAAGAAGGCTGTATTTTTCTGGAAACACATCTGGAACATTTGGAGATGAAAGTATAATGTTTAATGAAACTAAAGAACATTACATATGTCATACAACAACAACAGATACAACAACAGAGTATCTTCCATCAGAGGCTTCTTCAGATCCCCTGTGCAACAGACCTCTACAGGAAATACCTCCTGTCTAAAGCCATCAATATCTGCAATAACCTGTTGAACCCCTATAAGAGTTACTACAATAATCCTATCAAAAACTATTTTTGGATTTGAAATTATTTGAATTGAGTTGACAGGGTCAGATCTACACTCTCACTTTTCGGAACTATTCAGCTATGACTTTCAGCAAATGGGGGTACTTTGCTTCTCCAGCTCTCCGTTTTCCCAAAAAAAAAGAAAAAAAAAGAAATAGATTTTCGCCCCAGCCTCTTGGATGAATATTGGCATTCCAGCCACTCATTCCTGCTCTTGCTTCCTTTTAAGAATAAATGGAGTGTAAATTAATTAATAATTTACACTCCACAGGAGCCCTAAACCCCCCAATCTGGCTTTGTAAGCCTTTAAACAATGTAAGATTGTGAATTTTTTTACATTAAGACAAGATATTTTTTTTCTTTTTTGAGATTCTTAAGGATACTTCATGTTGTGAGACCAGTGTTGTTCAAGTAATTATTAATTCTACGGTGTAAAGAAGTCTGCGAGCGATCAAATTATTTTTTTATGTTGCTGTTTATGAAATGTTTTTGGTATTAGATAAGGTTCAATAGCTTGAATCAAAAGTGCTGCATTCTTAATTGGGAAGCTTATAAAGGAGGTTATGTCTTTTGTAAAACTTTAAGTTATGACTTTAGCCAAAACAATCTAAATTTGGCATATAGAAAATCAAAGGATTTGCCTGTAAAATAAATGTTTGATCCTATAAAGATGTTGGGTCAGATATATTTTTTCTGTGTCCAAATTGTACGTCACTAAGCCTGGTATTCAAATACAGTAGTGGAAACGTTTTCTATTTTAGCACAGCAGTCAGCGGCAAACCCCCACCTCATTTGAACAGCACATTACATTACACCACTCTTATCTTGTTTATGCCTTAGTCGAAACTAGATAGTATCTAAACAGTAATATATGTAAATTTAACTTGCAAAGCAGAAAAGAGGAAATGCCAACAATTTCTGTCTGTGGGTTTTTATCAATATACCAGGGGTCAGTTTCTTTCGCACCTCAGAAAAGCTGTAGTAAGGAGGTGTGGAGGAAGATGACGATGAATGCTCCACACGGCACTATAAAAACATGATCTGTGAGTAGTTGGAGCATACATCACCAGGATCACTCTGATTGAATCTGTGCAATCATCTCTCATCTTGACCACAGACTCGCTTCATCTAAATGGTAAGATTTCACGACTTAGAATAGAACAGTTGTAGTTTTTCATAAAAACTAATTTTAAATGTAACATATTAACTATTAAAGTATTATATTTTCAGTGTGGTTGTCAATTTTATTGCAAAACTGTTTAATATTAGTATAACTGTTAGAGATTAAATCATTTCCAGAACATTTTCTTTTCTTGAATTTGCTCTCTGACTCTCCCGTTATGCCCCAATTTTTCAGATGGTATTGTCGTGGATAGCGGCATTTCTGCTTATCAGCATTACTGCATCACAAGAGCTCACCCACTTTCCTGAGCACTGTAGGTCTTTTAAAACAAGATTTTTCACAATACTCATTTGCACCTAAATTAAAGTGGTGCAGATTTGGTAAATTTAACTAAACTCTGGGTCCTTCTTTCTGAATCTCTGCAGTTGTTGTGGTGAGAAGAAATGAAAACTCTGTCACCCTTCCCTGCGATTCAGCCATAGCTGGACCTGTGACATGGAAGATGAACGACGAAGATTTAGATTTTGATTACTTCTATGAGCAGAAGGACCAAAATCTAAGTGTGAAGGAGGTTGATACACCCTTGCTTGGAGAATATAGCTGCTGGAGAGGGGAAACAAAATTGTCGTCAACTCTTCTGTTACAGGAAACTGAGGAGGGAGAGGATATAGGTGGGTTACATTTCTTTATACAACTGAACCTGACTGAACTGGTGACAGAAACTATGAGGCATGTCGTCTTTTGTGCTTTGTTTTTGGATGCCGTTGCATTTACTCTCCTTGTGTGTTATTACAGATGCTTTGCTCACATGCCATGCAGTGTCCTATGATTGTAGCTTCAACTGCACCTGGACTGACAGCAGATATAAAATGGTGCGCCTTGGAGTTGGCCCAGAATGGTAAAGATTAATGAGGTTAAAGACATCCATTTATTGTATGAAAAGACCCATAGGCAAAATTTTTATCAGTCCTAGAATATATATATATATATATTGAGCATATGTAGTTGTGGAAGTAAAGCAGGTGAAACATAAGTTGAAAAATAAGATTGTTTGGCTTAAGCAGTGGTGCTAAAAGTCTTGAGGCAATAAAGAAAGTTCTATTAAACAAATTATTAAGTGTACTTTTTGATTTAGTCAGGATGTGTAGGAGCATGTGGATAATATTACTAAAAGAGATTCATGACTTTCTGCTGCCTTGTGTAATAGATAAGATATGACACACAGAGTCATATCTTCTAGTCGCTATTCTAAATAGAAAAGACAAGCAAGGCAAGTACCACTGGCTGTTTACATGAACTTTGGCATTACTGGATTCAGCAATTATTAAAAAGCTTAAAAGCTGTAACTGTATAATTTGTACTTCACTTTTTAAGTTGATCAGCATGTCAGGGAACTTTAAATTATCAATCAATGTCCTCCTGTCATATTGATTTATAACTATGGCAAGCATGCCTTTTAAGATGGGCAAATGTGTAAAGAACTTTATGAGGAAGGAAATGATTTTAAAAAAAGTAACTTGCATTTAGTTTCACCTATCTTTGGTTAGATCATATAAAATATTTTAGAGTAGCTGTGACATACAAGGACATGTTTTTCATGTAGGGGAAATAGAAAGCTCTAAAGCTGACTGTCAGAGCTCTAAAGTAAATGGGTAATTTATTGGCAAAGATTTATTTCAAAGTTGTATAAACACAGAGAGGGTCGTAGCTGCATGGCATCATTAATAGATTCAATATCTTTATTTAAATATTTAAAAAAAATCAAAAAGATGTATCTCAAATTAGACTTCAGGTATTTATCCATATAACGTCTGTGATATTGGTTGCTTCTGCAGCAGTGAAGGTCAAACATCTTGCCAATGGGTGAGCAAATATCGACAGACTGAGAATGAGAAATTAACGTTTGAGCTGTCCCACAACATTTCACCATACGCTGAGGAAAACACTACGCTGGAAGTCACTGCCGAGGCCATTGACAACCCCTTCCTCCTCAGGAGAACCAAAGTGTTTTATCTCAGAGAGATTGGTGAGTTGAATCATAATGAGCGAAAATATTTATCATCAATTAGCCTATGACCACTGAGCAAAACTCTGTTACAGAGACATACAAAAGGACGTAACCTTCCATTTGTGTAAATGTGGTTGAAAGGTATAACTAGAAACTCTCCACATAAAAATGTATCTTTACATGTGAATGTGGTTAGAATAACTTGTCCAAATTCATAAGTCATTGGACCAGTGACCATGCCCATGCCAGATGCCCATTCATTTGTTTAAAGGGTTTTAATTAAGTAAAAGGAGATAATTTAATTTTAGGCTGTTTAAATGTGGTTTATTTTCTTCACTGAATTAATTTCTTATTCCAAAGAGAAGGAAATCATGTCATTACTGTTGGATTAAAACTAATCACCATGTGTTTCTCTCAGATAAATAGCAAACGCATTTTCCCATGTTCATATTTTTGTTACTGTCGTTTCCCATCTCTGCAGTTGTACCTGAAAGCCCAGAGATTGTCAGTTCTCAGGTCGTGGGGCAGAAATTGAATGTCACCATCAAACCGCCTTCCAGCTGGTCAACTCCTCACAGCTTCTTCAGTTTGGAGCATGAGATTGAATACGTGTACAGGGATGACGGCCGGGTAAACACTTCTGACTCTGAGTTTTAGGGATTTCTCAGGAAGTTTCTGTTGTATTTTCTTCTCTGATTGTGGTTTCTCTTTGATTTCAGGCCGAACGCTCTTTGTCTTCTCTGATTCCGAAGAAGATCAGTAAGCTGAGGGCCCGATCAAGAGACCCGCTGGTGTTCTCATCTTGGAGTCAGTGGACACATTGGAAAAATGTAACCCACTGATTATCTGGTCTCAGTTCTTTCAGCTTCTGCTCTTTACAAGCTCTTGCAGTTTCTTCTATGAAGTATTTTGATGATAATCAATAAGGATGATTCGAACAAGACTGGTCTGAGTCATAAGGAAACTGCTTATGGCCCTAAAAACCATCAGTGGGTTCCTATAAATGCTTACACTGAACACTGACCGAAGATCTAAAATTTTTATACTAAGAAAGGGAATACTATTTCACTTGGATTGATTAGAATAGATGAACGATTTTAAATGTTTCTTACCAAAATATAATCTTATTGACTGTTACGTACAATTTGACACTACATCTTAAAACTTTATTTGCATGTCAGAGATGTTTTTTTTTTCTCAAATACATCTTGGAAAACATTAACCAATTATCAGTAACTGTTTTTAACCTTAGCTAATTACACTTGGCCTTTTTCTCCAGCATCCCATCAGATCTTTAAGAGAGGCCTCTAATAAAATTTAGTTTACAACCATGAGGCAACACAGAATAACAGTGTTTTATGTATTTAATATTGACTTTATTCGAGTTCTCAAACTATTTATTTATTTTTA